CCCCTCCCCACCCCCCCCCCCCCCCCGCCACTTTTCCTCTCTCTCCTCCCTCTCTTTTTTTTTAGGGCCTGTGAAATTGCAACCAGGCCCTTAACTAATTGAATTTCACGCTCCGCAATTGTCTTACAGCGCAGCACCTTCTGTCCCACCAGCCCTTGCCGGGGAGGGGGGACAGAGTGACAAATGTGTGCCCCCCCCCTCCTCCCCTCCCCAGCACGGAGGGTGTCTGGGGGGGACCCCCACACCGGGGCACGGCTGCTCGCACACGCACGCACACGCACCCCGCGGCGGGGGGCTCCCCGCCATGATTTAATTATTGCACCTTTTCTTTTATGCCCCGCTTAATTTATATATATTTTTTTTATTTTTTTTTTTTTAAGGGCACCGGGCAGGAGCAAAGCAGAGCGGGGTGGTGGTGGGGGGGGATGCTGAATAGAAAGAGGCATTTTTCTTTAGCGGTGTGAAATGAGCAATAAATGTATTAGGAAGCTGACAAGGGGGCTGCGGGGCCCACAGAGAAAAGCGGTGCGGAGTTGGAGGCTAATCCCCCCTCCATCTGCCCTCCTCATTACCATTTAACGCACTATCAGTTGCCAATCAGCCTCAATGCCTCCCTTTCTAGTCTTTATTATATAGGCGCCCGCAAGAGCCCTGTCTAGTGATGGGGGCTGTCAGCTCCCCCCCACCGCCCCCCCCTTAAACCCCCTATTTTCCAGGGGTTTATAAACTCAGTTGTAAATTGCTATTAAATGTAAACTCGCGGCAATAATGAACCTTAAGCTGCTTCTCGGCGTGGGCCCCCCCACCCCGCGCCCTCCCCTCGCCCCGGCTCTTTCTCTCCGCATCCTCCACCGGGATATTGGCCGGGGTCCGCTCAGCCAAGAGCCGACGTTGTCGGGGCTGTTGTTGCTGAAAGCTGCTTAGCCTTTGAAATAGTTAATAATTAGATTAAAACTTCAAATAAATTAACTAGGGGCTGAATGGGCTGGCGGGAGGGGGGCTGCTCCTTGCAGGGGGACCATTATAATGGAGCGGGGAGGCTGGCGGTGGGGAGGGGGTGTCCCCTCCCAGCAGGGTCTCCCCCCAACCTGTGCTGGGCTCGCCACTGCTGCCAGGATGGATGGTGGCACGGGGATGGCCATGGCTGGCAGAGGTGGAGATGCCTCCTCAGGGATGATGCCGAGGCTGGGCCCTGCCGTGTGTCCCCAGGGATGTAATGGAGCACCCCCGTGTCCTTCATCACCAGCCAAACCGTGCCGGATGTGTCCCCAGCTGTTACACTGGCCAGCATCACCTGTGTGCCCTCAGAGGCACCTGCAGCAGAGAGGTCCTTGTGCCCACTGCACTTCGATGGCAGGTGAGGGGCTCAGACCCCCTTTTCACTGGGGGGGGTCCCAGAAAGCCCCGGAGATCTAACCAGACCCTCTGCACACCTCAAAGAGCCCTAGTGTGCTGCAGGCACCATCCTCAGCCCTGATGTCACCACCTGCCCCCACCCTGGGGATGCTCCCAGCTGCCAGAGAACCCCTGTCCTGGCTGGGAAGTCTTGTCCTGGGGGCCCAGGGCCAAGGGTCTGTCAGCAAGGAGGCTCTTACCCCGCTCAAACTTGATCTCTAGCACATCTGGGGTGTCGGGAGAGTTGGCTGGATCACAGGTCTTGGTGTAGAGCCCTGGAGGAGCCTGGTTCTGCAGGGAGAGGGAGAGAAGAGGGACAGGCAGTGGCATTGCCATGGCCAACATTGCTGGCAGCCCCAAACCCTGCACATTCCCCTTCCAGGAGTGCATCCCCCCATCCCAAAACACATCCCCCTGCTAGGGGTGCATCCCCCCATCCCAAAGCACAGCACAGCACCGACGCTTACCAGGGGCCCCGGGAACAAAGGGGTTGGCAGAATCAGCCAATTTTTCCCCTCAACTTGATCTCATCTTTTCCTCCAACGCCCCCACAGCTGGAGGCGGGATGGCTGTGGAGAAGCAAGTCAGGCAGGGAAAAGCAGGACGCTGGCAGCGAGCGGCAGGGCAGGCAGGCACCCGCACGTCCCCGCACCGCGGCCGGGCTTATTCGGCACTGACCGAAAAAACTAATGAGCAGGCCTGACCCCAGCAGGTGCTCCCAGCACACCGGCTCTTTCATGGTGTCCCCGGGGTTAATACACACAGGGGAAAATAGAGCAGCAAAGCAAAAACCCATTTCAGAGCACATCAACCTTTATGTATATATATATTTTTTTTTTTCTGAGATTTATAGGGAAGAGGCATCTTATCTCCATCAGAGCCAGGCCAGCAGAGGCTCGGGTGCTGATGGTGAATTGCTGCAATTGAAGTGCGTGCCAGAAGAAGCAGGGGGGGAGGGAATGTAATATAAAAAAGCTTTCCGTCCCGGAGAGCAAATGCTTTGCAATTTCACATGGCCCCTCAGCACTCACCCATGATGCGACTGCACAGGCTGACCCCAAAATACTTCCAGATTTGTGTTTGTAAGCTCCTGCCTCCAGAGGGACTCCCCACCTAGCCACAGCTCCAGGAGGTGGAGGGGAATGGAGGCACAGAGCACCCAAGGCACGTGCAGCACCATGGAGAGTCAAGCAGCCTTTTAAAAGGTGGCAAACTGGTATTTCCCCACTAAACCCAGCTGGGCAGAGCTGGAGCTTTGGGTATCTCTGGGCAGGGGGCCCTGCCTTGCACCCACCTGCCCAATGCCTGGCCCACGCTCTCCCTGTTCCTCTTTTCCATTTTAAATCACAGCTCTTCTGCTCACTTCATCAAATCATAGCATAGTTTGGGAATGGAAGGGACCTTTAAATGTCCCTTTTCCTTCTTTCTCTTGCTTTCCAGCAAGAAAAAAAACTGATGAGATATAAGGCAAGTTAGGAAAAAAGCCCCATAGTAATCCAACCAAAAGTATATAAATAAATATATATAAAAAAATTAAAAATTACACTTTTTAAAGGGAAAATTAATTTCTCTACAGGAGAAATTTTAATCTAATTTTTTTTCCTGACAGGCAATAAGAATTTTAGTGAGAATTCCATTTATTTTTGTCCAAATGTATTTACATTTGCTGGATCACTGCCAGCACCTGAGAGAACCCCACACAGCTGCAAGCATCCCATCCCACCCTCCACACTGGGAGGGGACCCCTTGCCTCACCCCAAACCTCGGGGTGCACATCCCAACACCAGCCACAGCTGAACCATGTGAATACAGACATAGCTGCCCAAGCACTCACTGCAGCAAACCCCTCCCCAGTTCCCATTTGATGTAATTTTTGCCCCTTTCCCTCGTTTTAAGGGAGAGGCGTTGGCAGGCAGGCACATCTCCCCTGTGCCCCCACGCACAGATTACACGGGCTGTGGATTTCAATTTTACATCGTCTGCCCTTTCCTAGCCCTGATCACACTTATTAACTAGATGAACCTGTGAGAAATGATGAAAAACTTCGAGTTCAAAAGGAAAAGGTGCAGGGGGGTGGGAGAAAAAATACTGGAAAGTATTAAAAACTCTTTACTAAACATTGAAAGTCAAAGTCAGGTAGTTTCCAATTTTCCGAGCCAACTATGAAAACCCCTATTAAATAAAATAACTAAATAGAAATAAAAGTGACATTTGGCTTGCATTCCATCATTACGGTGTGAGTCTGTCCTCTTTTTATTCTCTCTCCTAAAAGCACAGTTCAAATGACAAATAGTTTGTTGCAGTGTATCAATGCCTTCTATTTATCCCTCCCCGCAGGGGGGCTAGTCCTGCAATGTCATCTTTAAAGGGGAGAGAGGAAAAAAAAAAGGGGGGCAAAAAAAAGGAAAAAAAAAAAAGGAAGAGTGTGTGGAAAGTGCGAAAGGGAGGGGGGAAGAAAGAAGCAAGAAAAACGGGGCAAGAAGAGAAGAAATTGGAAGCAAATGGTCCATGAAGTAAACCATGATGCAGAGCTATCGATGCCGCAAATGGTTTATTCATCCGGCTGATATTGTTGTGCCCGGGACTGAATGAACTCTTTCAGAGTGCCATATGAAGTTAAAGCAAGTAAATTTCTATCTTTCTCCACATTAGCTGCCTCATTGCCCTTCAATCGGGCCTCACAGAGGCAGAAAATAGCTCAACCATCTGCTTTCAAATCCCTGCCTTTGGCAGGTCCCGGGGGTTCGGGGAGGGGAGCCCGCCGTGCCTGGCACCCCGGATCTTGCCACGGCCACCGTGTGCCCAGCACCGCGTCCCGGACCGGGGACAGCAGTCCCCGGTGACAGCAGTGACACCGCGCCCCGGAAAGCCACCTCCCAGCACTGTCATAGGTGCCCGGGCAGAGGATGCTCGGGAATGGGGACAGGGCACCGCTCAGCCTCATTTTCCAGCTGGATTTGGGAAGGGAACGGGCTTGGCAGAGCCTGGGGAGCGGGGGAGGAGAGGAGAGGTGCTGGGTGCGGGTCAGTCCCATGCTACCTCCAGCTAAAGACGTGAACACCCATCCCGGTGCCAGCCACTGTCCCGGAGGAGGAGACCCCACGGGAACCCGGCTCTGCAAACCCACAGCCGCCCCTCCGGAGGGTACAAAGGAGGAGCGGGACCCCCTCTCCACCTTCCTCTTCCTCTCGCCGCGGGCACGCGTCAGCCCCGCTGCGGGAGCCGGCTGCGGGCACGGAGCTCCAGGGGCTCCGCTCCCTGCCCGCCTGCCCGCCTTCCCCTCCTCTCCCCGGGCTGTCTAATTAGGGCTGATGGATGGTTTAAATAGCGGCCGGGAGCGGTGACCAGCGCAGGCAGGGCCAGCGGCACCGCAGCACGGCTCGGAGCGGCCGGAGATGTTGGCGCTCCGCAAGTCCCTGTTGGTAGCCAGAGCTGGTGGCCCCATGGGTCCCCAACACCACCCATGCAAGGGGAGGTTTTACCCCACACCCCCACGGATAGCGGGCTGGGAAAGCAAGGAGCGCTGGGCGAGCTGCAGACACGGGCAGGGGACACCCCGAATCTCTGCCACTCGCCACCAGCTCTGACTCTCACCAGCACCGCGTCTGTCTAATTGCTCCTTTAGCGCTGCCCGGCGCCACTGTCCCCTCCGGTGTCACCCTGGAACTGTCCCTTCCCCTGTTCGAGCTGGCGGTAATTAACGTGCCGGGGGAGGCGGAGGGGCCGGGGAGCGGCGGAGCCTCCCCGCATACACGGACGGCCCCGCCGTGAAATTTCCAATTAGGCTGCAAATACACGAGACGCCCCCGGCCCCGTGGCTGCCGTGCTGGCAGGGTGGCCGTGATCGATTACCTTGGGATTCTCCAGGATCCCGGCTTCATAGCTGCAGCAGGAAGGAGAAGGAAGGAGAGAGAAGTCACTGCAGCACCTGTAACTTGCAACCCCAAAACCCACCGGGACGAGACCCTCGCTCCCACCCACCCCATGAGGACGGACATAAGTACACGGTACGGATTTCCAGAGCATTTTAGCAGCAACTCTGAAGGGAGAGCCAGGCTTAGGAGAGTCCAGGAGATGAATGCTGCCACTTGGAACACGGACAGCTAGATAGAAAGGAGGATGGAGGATTTGGAGTCAACCATGGTCAGCATGTGGTGGGGCAGCCTGGGACAATGGGGGTACAGAGAGCTGCTCTGGACATGTAGGTTGGAAGGGACTGGGGCTCCAGATCCCAGGGCTCCTCACCTGATGTGCATTAGGTTCTCATCCATGCTCCAGGGCGTCTGAGGTGTCACAGGCACTGGGATCCCATGTTTCTGCCGGGAGGAGGAGAGAGGGGGTAAGACAGCCTGCAGGGAACCTCATTGATACTGGTTCCCAGCAGGATCAGCCCCAAAAACACAAAGGCACAACCCTGGCCACAAGCAGAGCAGCACAGAGCAAGGCGGACTCCCACGTCCCTGACCCACATCAGCTCCCACCACAAGGGCCACCTCACCAGGAGCATCAGGGACAGTGTGGCTGGGAGGAGAATGCCACAGGCTGAGAAGGGCCCCAGAGCACCCCATGAACCCCAGAGATGGGGACACCAGCACAGATGTTGTCTGCTTTCCCTGGATCCAGGGTGGTGCAGTGGTCTCAGGTATGTGGTGGGATTGTTCCTGGCTGTTCTTTGCAGAGCCAGGACCTGAATTTGATGACCCTGTGGGTCCCCTCCAACTCAAGATATTCCACAATTTTATGATTCCCCCAGCCAGGCTTCTCAGCAAGGGGAGGTCCCCAAAGCTACAGGATGCTCTAGAGCCTAAAGAGGACTAATGCTCTGTCATGAGGGGACAGCAACACATCTTCCCAGCCTTGTGCAAACACATGGTGAAGCAGATACACCCCAAGCAGGTGGCAGTGTCCCTCTGAACCTGGGCACCTCAAGCACACCAAGCCCAGGGACATGAGGCCACACACCAGCTGCCCCCCCAGCACGATGTGCAGCACTGAGCCTGGCTCCCCAGCAAGGTCACCAGCGTGCTCATTTATCCACTGACATTTCAATGGGGGAAATTGCCTGTGAAGATGAGGTGAATACGTGGGGGAATTGGTGGGAGAGGTGACAGCAGCAGGCTGACTGGAGCCAGCACGGACGTCATCCACCCTGCCAGGACACTGAGCTACAGTGTGCCAGCTGTGGGGTGGCCGTGGCAAGACAGGGATGGGGACAGCGGCTCCCACCGAGCCTTGATGTGTCTGTACAGCCCATGCTGTTGGGCAGCTCTGGCATTTCAGTGTCACCACAGCAGGGACATCAGTCAAGGGCTCAGATGGGGACAGAAGAGCAGGGGCTGAGCAGACATTCCTCATCTTCCAAGAACAGAGAAGGAAATGCTTGTGGTTGTTACATCACAGCCCTCAAACCATCACCTGACATCTCCTAATGCTGCAGAGGGACTGACTCAGCCCTGCTCCTGGGGGGACACGCTCTCAGGCTCATGGGTTCTCATTTGCTGATTCCCCACCATAATTCCAGCATTGGACCTGATGGGACACCCCATTAGCTAATCTAGACCTCCTCCAGCACAACTTAAAGCCATTTCCTCTTCTTCTATCTTGTATTTGCAAGAAGAGACCCACCATCTCACTTGGGGTGCTACAAACCCATCTTTCAGACATGAATACCCAGTAATCTCGAGCTGACTTGTGCCCTCAGCCAGCCCTGTCCTGCCACTGCCTCCTCCTGGCAGCTGGGGAAGCCAGTGCTCCCCAAACCATCCTCACCCCATTTCAAAGAGGATCCTCCAAGTCCAGACCAAATATCTTCAGAGCCTAGGCAGCTTTTGCTGGATCCAAAGGTACCAAAACCAGAAAGGGATTTTATTATCAGCTTCTGTCCCACCTGGCTCTGCCTGTGACGAGGCTGATCCTGGAGCAGCATCCAGGAGAGCTTGGCCATTCTCATTAAGGTGTGTGAGAATGAAGCAGCCCCTGGCACAGATTTGCTGCCAGGGAAAGGCTGGGTTCAGCCCCTGGGTAGCAAATCCATGGAAAGAGCTGTGCCACAGTGAAAAATCCTCTTTTCCTGTCACCAATGGAGCCCCAAACATCATCATTTTCTAATTCCCCAGCACCAAGGTGAGCACATGTTTGTGCTCAAGTGACCTGGCCATGCATCTCCCTTTCCTGAGGATGAAAATGAAGGGGAACCACCTTTTTGCTTTGTAACAGATAACCAGAGACTGAGAAATACTCAAACTCTCACCCCACAACCTTTTGCTCTTGGAATGGGGCCCAAATCCATTTCATTTCCCTTTTCCCCCCTTCCAAACAAACGAAACAATCCCCACAACCAAACAAAACCCCCAAACCCAAAACACATGTTCCATTTTCTATATAATAAAACCGTGGTGCTCTTAATAACTCCCTTATTTGACAATTTGTTTGGCAACATATGGAAAGCTCTCATAAACTCCCCTTCATAATACAACGGCAGATGGCAAACACAATCCTCAACACGCTGCTCTCTCCCTCCCTAATGGGCTCAGAGGGCTCCTCACCCCACACCACATCCTTCCAGCTCCACACCTTGCCTTCCCAGAGATTACCCAGGCAGCTTTGATGGCAGCTATTTAAAAACTGAAGCAATTTTCTGGTTTATGCACAGAGCTGACTTTTCCCTTTTGATTGATTGAGCTGAGTTGTCAAGCATTTCCATGAAGTCGCTAAAAAAGAAAGGTACCCTGGTGGGCATGTAAAAACCTGATGCAAAACTTCTAATATGTTTTATTGTAACTTGTACTTCAAAAAGGAAGGGACAACAAAGGTGAATGTATTTGCTTTGTCTGTTACACAAGTCAGGGAGCTGGGACCCGTTTCCTTGGAAAGCAGGTTACAATTAACAGCCAGGTAATTAGGGGGCTTCTAGAAAGGAAGGAGAAAAAAAAACAACAGAGGAGGGGGGCAGGGAGGAACCCTGACCAGGAGGCTCCTAAGTGGTGCTGCAGGGATGTTGTGCAGGGTGTGCTGCTCTCACCTACCAAGTCATGGTAAGCATCCTGTGGTGACCCTGAGCACCCCATGGTCACTCCAAGAATCCCATGGCTACCCTGAGCTTTCACAGCCACTCTGAGCACCTTTTGCTGCCCTGGGCATCCTGTGGATTCTGGCCATGCCAGCTCCTACCTTGGCATAATCCATCAGCTCACGGCGTCCAGGGAAGCGCTGGTAAAACTCAGGCAGCCTCCACGGTGCAACAACCTGGCAGCAGGGCAGGAGCATGAGATGAGGAGCCTCCTGTCCTCTTGTAGCCCCTGGGCCCCCTCTGCCCCTGGGAGCCAAGACCCACAGGGTGGTGGTCCCCCAGCTGAAATTTAATCTCCCAGCACAAGGTGGAAGTAAACCAAACCCCCACCCTAACCAGGCACTGGATGCAAAAGGGAAGCAGGCAGCAGCTGCCTTAGTACTGTCTCCTCTGTGTGCTCATGGTGTTTGGGGTAAAAATAGGTCAATTAAGCATCATTACAGCCCCCTGAAATGCCAAAACGTCGCTGTGTGCAGCTGGTGGCTTGTTAAAGTGAAGCAGGGCCGTTTGCATCGGTGTTAAAACAGAATTCCCACCAGCTGCAGAGAGGCAGGAGCCTGTGGGGAGGCAGGGGGTGGTTTGGGGTGCCTTACCTTGATCTTGGGACACAGGGCATAGCAGCTGAGCTCGAACCGAACCTGGTCATTGCCCTGAAACATGAGTGGGAGGTGCTGAGGGGTCACCCCAGCCCAGGGTGTGACAACACATACATGCAGCCTCTGTTTGGCTCCAGTCACAGCTCCCCTGCTGATATTGCAAACCTTGGACACAGAGGGTAAGGATCCTCTGTCCCATCGGAGTTCCTGGTCCCTCTCCACAGCTGGTTTGAACCCCAAACCACCTTTCCTGTAGCTCCTGATGGCTGTGTGCTCAAACCAGATTTGGGTGGTTTTTTTCCCCCCAAGACATCAAAGGACAAAGAAGGAAGAGGACAAAGTGGGGGTAAGTCCAGAGTGAGCAGAGGGATGCAGCAGCTCATAATTAAATAGTTCAGAACCTCCCTTTACCTTGATTGGCCCTTGCTGATTAGGTGCCACTAATGAGTCCAGCTAGCTGGGAAAGGGCAAGGAGCAGTAGGAAAGCTGGGAATTACAAGCACTTCCAAGGGAATAACACTCACTGAAAGCTATTTTTCACCCTTACCAAGGGGCGTAAGGATCCCCCACTTCCCTCCCATCGGCCTGGAGGATACATTTACACCCGGGCTGGGAATTCCCCATGGACTATTACACACAGGCAAGTACATCCAGCAAAGCACTCATTTCCCTCACAGGCCCAAAACACATCCATCTGCTCCGGCAGCGGGGACACCCCAGATGGTCCCATTTAAGACTCCTCAGCCGGGTCGAGTTACCCGCAGTCAGTCCCTGCCAGTGCCCGTGGCTTAATGGCCTGGGGAGTGCGGGCAGCGAGGTGCCCCTGGCAGCGGGGATGGAGGGACGGATGGAGGGATGGATGGAGGGATGGATGGAGGGATGGATGGAGGGATGGATGGAGGGATGGATGGAGGGATGGATGGATGGATGGCTGCTGGCACCTGGGAGCAGGGGGAGCAGCATCGCACTGGGGCTGTGTTAGGGCACCTTTGAGCCGGAGCTTTCAAGAAAGGCCGGCTGGGGATGGGTAAGATGGACAGAAAGGGGTGCAGGATTGCAGCAGGAGAGAGAGTTATTCCGGTCCCGTAGCCCCCCCATCTGCCCCTCTGTCCCATCTCCCGGGGCGGGGGCTGGCGAGTCCCTCGGCAGCCTCCTGTCCCCCTTCTCGCAGAGTCCCCACCGTGGGGACCCCCAAACGCATTGCGATCCCCCCAGGGAGTCACCTCGCCTTACCCCAAGGCACGGGCTGTGGGAAGAGGAGAAGGAGGCACTCGGCAGGTCCTGGCTTCACCCCCTGAGCCCTCACCTGCCCCAGGTGTCCCCACGGGGGAGCGGCTGCAGGTGCCGGGGGTGAGCCACGGTCACGTCTCGCAGGTCCCCCGCTCCCCGAGGGGGATTCCCCCTCTCCAGGAAGGGGCTGGCCACGAGCATCCCTTTTCCACGGTCTCTGGCTGCCTCTAGCGGCAAAGTGTCCTCCCTGCGGCCAGCGGGGACAGCGGGGACGGGGACCGGAGCAACCGAGATAGGGACCGGCACAGCCAGGATAGGGTCAGGAATGGGAGCAGGGGCCGGGAGAGCTGGGGAGGGGACCGGGACAGTGGGAATAGGTACAGGAATAGGGACAAAGTCTGGGACAGTGGCACTTATTCCAGGACACCCCTAATCACACCGGGTTGCGCTGGCTCAGTCTCAGCCGGCTCCTGGCTCGGGAACCCTCAGCATTTTGAAATTGCTGCCAGAAACAGAGCTTTCAGCTGTGACCCCAGCCTTCCCAACAGCGAGACGGAACCGAAATTGGGCACAGAAATCCCAGAAGTGAGAGGGAAGTGTTGAAACACGGTTGAGTTTTGCACAGTCCCCACAAAACACCCTGAACACCCCTCCTGGCACCCAGAGCTTGACCTGTAGACTGACCAGCTGCCCCATCCAAGCGCCTCCAGCCATCCCTGCCCGGTGGCCACATCCCCTCTCACCTTGCCTGTGGCCCCGTGGGCGACGTGCTGGGCTCCCTCTCGCTGGGCGATCTCCACGAGCTTGCGGGCGATGCAGGGCCGTGCCAGCGCCGTGCCCAGCAGGTACCGATCCTCGTAGAGCGCATTGGCCTGAACTGCTGGCCAGATGAACTCCTCCACGAACTCCCTGCTGACATCCTCGATGTAAACCTGCCAGCGGAGGGATATTCCTGATGGAAGGGTTCCTACAGGGAAACCCGCTCCTCTGGAGTTTCAGTGAAAAGTCTCTTTGTCTCCCTTTTCCTAAATGCTGCTAAAAGGCTTTGGGGCAAAACCTCTGGAGAAGGGATTTCTTATTGGCACGGTCCTCTCTGGGGTGTGTGGGACCCTTGGCTCATCCCTGTGGTGGGGAGCAAGGGGAGGGACACTGTTACCTTCTTGGCCCCCAGTGCCAGGGCTTTCTTTCGTGCTGCCTCAAAATCTTCCTTCTGCCCAATGTTGGCCTGGGAAGCAGTAACAAAAAAAGAAAAAAAGACTCAGTGTGAAACAAGACCACAAAACCCAGTGCAAGCCCAGTTCGGCACAGGGCATCATGAAAGGCATGACAGCCTGTGGTGGCTGGGCTTGAGACACCCAGGATGGGCAGGAGGGGAGTTCCATCCCCTGAGGTGGATATCTGCCCTCCTCTGCCAAGCCCTTTGGCTCTGCCCTGATTCCCTGTCTTCATTAGCAGAGGGACAGGCTGTGGCACACAGGGCTGGCAGCTCAGCAGAGCAGCAGTGAGCTGGACCATGGTTAATCAGTGCAAGCAGGGTCACCACTGCAGCTACACACACACCAGGACCCCAGAGCCAGCCCAGCCCCCCCAGAGCAATGGCCCAGCAGCCCCTCCACTGCCAGTCCCTGGGGACAGGGTTCCTGTGACAGGAACCTCAGCTCAGAGCTCACCAGGTAGGCGACGACGTCGTAGCCCTGCTCCTTCAGCCACACCAGGATGCAGGAGGTGTCGAGCCCCCCGCTGTAGGCAAGGACCACTGTGCCCTTGGACTGAGCCATGGTGCTGCCAAAGCAAAGGAAAATGGGGTCATGATACCACCAGCCCCTGCCCTTACTGCAGCCATCAGCCACAGCATCAGGAAGGATCGGCTGAAGCAAGAGGAGGCTGCAGGGAACCAGGGCAGGGCTGGGGGCAAGAGGAAAAAGCCACAGCACAGTTACCATGGCGGGGCTGTGGCTCCCAGCTAGGGAGGACACCCTGCCCATGCACCAACCTGTCCACCCGGTGCTGGCTGGGCAGCAGAGAAGGCCAGGGCAGCCAAGGAGGGCTGTTTTGCTCTTACCTTTTCTCTGTGCTGGCAGCCCCAGCACAGCCTGTCCCACGCTCTGCACGTGCTCTGCAATGCTGGGGAGCCGGGGCTCAGGCGCAGGCAGAGGCACAGCTCAATGCCTTGCCCTGGCAGGACCCAGCACATCCCGGCTGTCTGCAGAGCTGCCACGGGCTCAACCCCCAGTGCCCATCAGGACAGCGATGGCTGCAGGCCTGGGGGGCTTGGCAGCATCCCCTAGAGCCCAGCCCAGCCCTAAGTCTAATTAATGCTTACGGGGCATCTGTTCTAATTATGCTGCACGTGTTTTCTGCCAGCACAAAACACCTATGTGGGGATTCAGAGCCCCTCACCCTCCAGCCAAGGAAATCGAGGACTTCAGCCAACAGCAGGAGGTGGTGAAGGACGCAGCAGCCTGGATCTCAGGGGAGGGTTGGGGGTCCTGGGCAGGAAGGGGCTCTGGCCTGTCCCTGCAGTCCCTGGGCCAGGCTGTGAATCCCAGGGCCCCACGAAGAGGCGATGCCAGCTGACCCTTGGCCGGGAGAGGCGAACAGTGGAGCCGGCCAAACCCTATCCTGGGCAACTTTGACACCGCTGCTGCCAAGTCAGCACAATCCTGCTTCTGCAGGCCGGGAAGGCGCCGTGCTGGGCTGCTCCAGGCTGGCCCACCCAGCACCTCTCCCAGCGGGATGCGGTTATGCCGGGGTGTGCCCCAGCACCCCGGTCCTGCCAGCGCGGTGCAGAGCCAGCATCCCACGGGGTGAGGCTTGGAGCCAGCCAGGGGAAGGCTCTGCCCTGCTCCTGCCAGCTTCTTGCCGAGGAACAAAGGGGTCTGGCAGCCCCATACCCTTCCCTCCGGCTCCCCGAGCCTGCCCGTGCCCGTCGGGCTGCCACGCAGGCTTGTGCAAGCAGCATTTCCCTGTTGGTGGCTGTGCCAAGCTGGGTCCCTGCCCAGCGAGGTCCAGCCGTCCCTTCCTCACCGGGGCATTTACAGGAAAGCAGTCGCAGTTCCCAAAACGGCCCAGCCCAACCCCGACGCTGCGCCTGCCGCTCCTTTAGAGACAGCTTCCCTCCTTTAGTCCCAAACTCATCCCCGCTGTGGCCACCAGCATCGCTGTTGCGGTTGCCAGCCTGAGTAAGCGCCTCCGGGACCAGGCACACTCGCTCTGCAAGTGGCCCAGCAGGGCCATAGGGAAATGCCTCCAGCTTTTGCCAGCTCAGACATGTCCCAGTGTCGCAATGCCCGAGGGGCCTGGGGGCACCTTGTCCTGGAGACGCATCCTGCATCCCAGGGGTGCGGCCACCAGAGTTCCCAGCTCTGGAAACAAGGCTCGTGCCAAAGCCGCCTGCCCAGGAAGGGAGAGCCCCGAAGTTTCAACGTTCCGTGGCAATAAATCAGAGCAAACAAAGCTCGGTGAAGGGGAACGCGGCGGGGCTTTCTCAGCCCTTATTATTATTCCGTAGCAATTTCCGTGTGAGTTGGGGCAGGGATTTTACTGGAGAGACTGGGACTGCGCTGTGCCAAAGGAACGCTGCGCTTTCGGTTTTAAAACCAAGAAATAAATATTAAGAGGGAGGAGAATAAAAAGACTGAAACTTTACCAAAGAGAGGAGCTGTCTTCGCTAGCCGGGCTGGAAGAACAGCCGGGCTGCTGCCTGTGGGCTGGGATGGAGCAGGCAGGAGAGGCAGGGACGGGCAGGAGGGGCAAGGGCAGGCAGGAGGGACAGGAGCAGCCTTTCCAGCAGCAGAGGCATGTGCTCACTAGTGCTGGGGTTTTCTTCAGCATCGCTCCTCCTCGCGGAGGTCTCATCCTGCCCCCCAAAATCCCCAGAGCAGAGCGGAGAGGACACGAGGTGGTACCGGCTGAGGTCTCAGATCCCGTCCCTGAGGGTGGCCAAGGAGACCCTCAAGGAAATGGGACTCGCTTGGAAACCCCCGCCCATCCCAAACTGAGCTAGGAAGGGCTTGAGGGCAGTCTGCACAGCGCTGGGAAAGGGCTGGCACCGCACTGCCCTGCTCCAACACCCAGGGGTGGGGAACACACTGCCCTGCTCCAACACCCAGGGGTGGGGAACACACTGCCCTGCTCCAACACCCAGGGGTGGGGGACACCCGTGGGTGGGTAGATATGGGACAGACAGGATGAGGGCACATGAAGGCTCCCGCTTTCCCCTCTCCCCCTGTGCCGTGCCCGCACTCACACACTCCCGGTGTCCGGCTGCCCTCCGTACTCTGGTCCGGAGCCTGGAGCATCCCCCCCTTCCTCCTCCTTTATAACGGGGCGTGGGCAGGCGGAGCCGCCGCGGGACAATCCCCCCTTGGGCACCGTCCCCGGGAGAGGCCCTGCGCTCCTCCTGCCCGCGGGGTGCCCGGCAGAACAGGGGGCGCAGCTGCCCCCGGGCCGGGCTGGAACCAGTGCCCAGCCCCATCCCCTGCATGGCCCCTCTGGGTGCTGCCACAGCTGTCCCCCCACTCCTGACCTCCTCAGCAACCTCCAGAGAGCACCCACGGGTGTCAGCCCCCCGTGGGGACTCCACGGAGTTACCTTGCCCCCGAGGAGTGGGAAAATGGGGGCAGAGGAGAGATGGTGCTCTGCAGCACCCGTCTTTCCTCCCTGGACCAGGAAGAAGGGGCAAGGCTGGATTTATCTGAACCTCCATCAGGAGGCAATAAAGGAGTCAGGGTGGGCAGGAGGGGACAGGACAGGGGGCTGTACATGGGCCCAAACTCACCTTTCCCCCTTGCACATGCCCAGGGCACCCCAGCCCCACAGCAGACCTGGCTTTGGAGGACAGGAAAGCTCCATCCCACAGGACAGAGACTTTAAGGGGAATCTCAGACAGGCGCAGCAAGAGCCAGCTCCAGTGACAGGATCAGGAAAGTGCACAGCCACCATCAGCCTCTATGGCCCAGCCCTGGGGGCTCGTGTCTCCTGGGGCCAGCACCCCACATCCCACACCATCAGTTAGGACTGAAACAGTGTTTTGGGAATGGCTTCCATCTTCACCATGGCCAGATCCTGCTCTTGCTTCTTGAGGGACTTGCCCCTGGGGCAGGATTGGACCTTCAGGGTCTGGACATTGGCCTTCTGGCATTGCTACATCCAGACAACCTCCCTTTAATGGTCCAAGGCCACGCAGGGAGGTGTCCAAAGCCATGGGAATTCTCCCACACGTTGAAGGAAGCTGCCTTCTGCAGGCACAGCTAATATTTAGTCACAAAACACCTTCATAAATCAATAAGAGTGCACAGAAACCAAGTAGATTTTAAAAAAAACAAACAAAAAAATACTATTTCAATTTAATACAAGGTTAATGCTGGGGTGCCCCACACCCTCCCCAGGCCAGGAAATCCTTCCCTGCACCCTGGTGAGACCCTCACTGGCCACTGTCACATTTGGGGACTGATAGCAACCACAGCCATCCAGAGCTGTGTTTGTTCTGGGATTTGGGACCCGATTGCAAGAGGTTGGCAGGACATCTTATCCCCACCGGGATCCTGACTCTCTGCTGAGTCAGGGCCCAGCCCTGGGTGAAAGGAACACAGCTGAGAGGTGAGGGTCTGGGAGGGACAGAAGAGGTACAAGCTCAGCGTTCCCTGAGCCACGTGTCCCACTGATGGGGTGGGGAGGGACAGGAGGAGAAATGACCCTGAGTCCCCTCCTGTCCCTGGGCTGTGTCAGTAAGGGTAGGGGGAGACAGAGATGAGGAGGAGGAAGATGCTGGGTGCTTGCTGCCCGTCTGGGACCAGCACCTGCACCTTGAGCCGGTGGGTGCCCGGCTCCCGCAGCGGCCGCAGGGTGGAGATGATGCCCTGGCCCCGCTCGGTGCGGAGGGCGAAGGGGCTGTCGGGGTCCTGCTCCAGCAGCCTGAAGACGGGGCGGTGGCGCAGGGCGGTGGCCGGGGCGAGGTGCACCACGTCCCGGTGGGCAGCGATGCCGAGGGGCAGGGGGAGCGCCTGGTACTGCAGCGTGGGGCCGGCCAGACCACAGAACGGGGGGCAGCGACCCACGCACAGCCTGAGTGAGAGATGGGGAACGTGGGATGTGGTGGGCAGGACACCCGGGGTCATGGTGACGTGAGGAGAGCGGGATGGGCACTCCCAGCCCCACGGCACGACTCACCCTGGGCTGGAGCCTCTCCGGTACCCAGCTGGGCACGGCACATCCGTGCACCGGGCACCTCCACGGGTGTTGAAGCACATCTGGCTCGAGCCACACTGGATTGTGCCTTCCATGCACTCATCCACATCTGCAGAGAGGGAGGGGCCGGGTCTGAGGGTGCTGGGGTGCCCATGGCTGAGATGGGGGTTCAATCCCCAGCTCCCCCACCTCCCTACATCTGCCTGGACACTGAGGCAGCGAGACAGGAACACTCAGACTGCAGAGAGCTGAGACTGGGAACAGCTGTCCCAAGAAAGGGTAATGACTTGCAGCCCCAAAAAGATGACACCCAGGGCACCATGGGGACTGGGCACCCCCAGGCACCCCTGCACTGACCGTGGCAGGTCTTCCCATTGGACAGCAGCCGGTAGCCAGTGGGGCAGAGGCAGCGGTAGGTGCCCAGGCTGTTCCTGCACTCGTGCTGGCACTGGTTCAGTGTCTGACACTCGTCAAGATCTATGGGACGAGAGGTGTGAAGGCAAGAGGGGAAGGATCAGTCCCCTGTGGTGCCACTGCCTTGGTCCAGCCTGGCTCTCACTTCCCTTTCCCAGCACAGCAAACACCACAGGGTGCAAACAAAGCGGTGGACAATGAGGTACTTTCTGGGGACAAAGTAGTCTCTGAACTGCCTCCAACACCCTTCCCCAATGCACGCTCACCCGTGCAGGTGCCATTCCTCCTGATGTAGCCCATGGGGCAGGGCGGGGCCCGGGCAGCCATCCCTGCATCCTTCGCCACGCGGCGCAGGGCGAGCTGAGTGTAGATGGATCGTCCCCGTGGGCGGCTGCTGGGCCCCTGCCGGCGCAGGGAAGTGTCCCAGGGCACGCTGCTCCTTGTGTCCCTTCCCTCCATCCCTGCTGTGCCACACCGCCCGCCCGGCAGCAGGGTCTTGCCAGCGGGGCACAGGCACTCGTAGGAGCCCCGCAGGTTGCGGCACTCAAAGGCACAGGGTGGGGGAAACTGCAGGCACTCATTGACATCTGGGGGAGGAAAGAGGTGGGGAGCTGCAGCTGGATGGGGGAAACTGAGGCTGGAACAGGGCAGGGGGTTGACCACGGACCCTGAGAGCCCTGCTCATACCCAAGCACGGCCAGCCAACACCCAGTGTGCTGTAGCCAGGGGGGCAGGAGCAGCCGTAGGACCCGGCGGTGTTCTGGCAAATCTGGTTGTAGCGGCAGGCATGGGACCCCTCGGTGCATTCATCAACATCTGGGGAGCAGAGACAGAACAGGGTTGGGGAGACAGGGAAGCAGCGCCAGTTGCCCCTTGCCATCCTCACGGCCCTTCAGGATGGGTCCGTACCAATGCAGTACAGCTGCCCAGGGGATGGGATGAATCCCAGTGGGCACTGGTCTGTATCAGCCCCTGTGAATTGAACAGAGAGAATTAGATGTGCTGTCCCACTGCAGGGACATGGCCTTTGCACCCTCACAGACACCCAGAACTGACAGCAGATCTCCATCCCCATCCTGGGAGCTCTCCTGGTTACCTGCATCAAGTGAGGCATGGAGCTGGAAGTGGAGCTCCTGTTTGGCTGGGTCATAGGAAGCTGTGATGGCTCTGGCCCGGAGGTGCTGCACCCGGGGGGGCTGTGGCCCCTCGGGGGGGTCGAACACGATGGTGTGATTGCAGTGGGCACGGACGAGGCGCCCATCCCGCAGGAAGCTCTGCACCGAGCCCCCGGAGAGCTGCCCCACGCCCGTCCGCACATAGCGCTCACTGAAGTCCTGGGGAGAGGCAGGGAGGGGTCAGGTCATGGACCCCCCGTGCTCCCAGCATGGGAGCCATGATCCCTTGGGGATAATGGGCAATGGCAGCACCTGTGGCAGCACCACAGCATCGCCAAAGATCTCCGGCACGGAGCCGCTGATGACGCTGTCCAGCCGCAGAGCGCCAGCACCATCCGCACCCCGGGCAAGGTGGGTGACCCGCAGGAGCTCCCCTGCCAGGGGGGAACGGTGAGCAGCACCCCACAGCACCCCACAGCATCCCACAGCACCCCACAGCATCCCACAGCACCCCCAGACTCAGCTTCACTCTTGGATCAGGGATGGTGCATGGGGGAGATGGAGCTCCCCAGGAGCTCCTCCTGTCAGAGACCCCTCACCTGTGGCAAACTGCAGCAGTGACTCGTGCTGGAAGGTGCCCTGGGTGAGCAGGAAGCCGCTCTGGGCTGCCCCGCTGGCGTGTGCCAAGGACCAGTAAATGGGGGCAATGAGGGTCACCAGCACCCGCATCAGTGGCCCTGGGAATGGGGAAGAAAGGGTGCCACCATGGAGCCAGCACCCTCCTTGGGGGGTGCCCAGGCTGGCCCATCCCTCCTCGCCCACAGTTGGAGGTTTGGGGGGGAAAAGGTTTGCTTTTTGGGTGAAAAAAGAAATAAAAACCTTTCCCACAAGATTCATATTTGACAGAGGTCAAAACTCACAAGGGTGAGAGTAGAAATGTCCACCCACCTATGGCAGGTGGAATGCTCCCAATGCTGCTCTGGAGGGTGGCAGTGCTGGACTGAGAGTCACCCAGCATGCTGGCATCAAGGGTGGACACACCAAGCTTGTAGCCATTGATGACACCGACCAGGCTGCCCCGCACCTGCTGCAGCATCCCTGGGGCCAATGGGATGGGGTCAGGCAGCAGCACTGGGACTGCACTCCCATGGGAGAGCAGGGTGCTTGCCTGACTCCCCTCTCACTAACTTGCATGTCCAAAATAATCTTGTTTTCTGGAGGTGAAGGCAGCCAGATCAAGGCAGGCAGTGTCCCTGCCTGGCTGCAGCACAGTCCCCAGAGACCCCGTGGCTCCAGGCACAGTGCCATGTTGACAAGGGATGTTGTGAGTGTGGCCCTGTGCCTCGTCACACCAACAGGCACTGACACCCCCAAACCCTGCACTGTATCAACCTCAAGGTCCTGGCATAGCCCCAAGCTTTTATTTGCTTCTCCAGCGTGCCTGGCAGCGAAATGCCAGCAGCCACACAAGGGCACACAGAGCATCTGGCACTTGCTCCTGCCTGGAAGAGGAGAGCAGGGCTCTCTGCTCCCACGGGGCAGCAGGAAAGGA